CTGCTTCGGCAGGAGGGTTGGACTAGATGACCCACAGAGGTCCCTTCCAACCCCGACCATTCTGTGATTCTGTGACCCTCACCCAGCAAAAGAAGGTGCTCGGTACCCCGGAACCGCTTACCTAATGTCCTTATTCAGGGTATGTTTTCTTTCAGAATGCCAAAGCACTTAAAGCAAAGAAAGAAGATGGGAATAAAGCGTTCAAAGAAGGAAACTACAAACTAGCATATGAACTGTACACAGAGGCACTAGGAATAGATCCAAATAACATAAAAACAAATGCCAAACTCTACTGCAACCGGGGGACAGTTAATTCAAAGGTAAGAAATGGTCACCTGGCAGGTAGTCTTTCATGCTCCTGACCATGTAGTTTATAAGTTGCAAATCAGTTATTCTGGATGGCATAGGCTTCTCTGGCGGCTGGGGCAGCTGGATCTTTCTAGTGCTGTAGGCAATGTTTCAGGTTTTTGTGCTTGCACAATGATTGGGTCTGTTCCAAACAGCCGACAAAGTTGACTCCTGAAGAAAAAATACTCGAATATTTGGGCTGCACAGAGTGGGAGGGAGAGGAGGAATGTAGTTTGGCCGTATTTTAATCAGCATAAAGGCATCCTTATTTGTTTCCTTCACGGTAATGGGGAGCTATCTTTTATTTTCTTATTCTTCTTGTAGATCATCTGTCTTGTTTTGTTCTTTGAGCTAAAAGAAATTACCTAATGTAAAAACCCTGGACACTTTTTCCAGGTTTGCAGTTGCATTTTAGTCCTGCACGATCCAGAGAAAGAGTCAGTTGTGTGACAGTGCTTCCAGTTTCACCCGGCGTTTCCTCTAGGCTTGTCCCCTCCCCAGCTGTCTGCGTGGTGGTGCCTGTGCTGCCAGCGGCCGGGCTTTTCCGCACCCCGCTGGGTCAAGAGGCAGAGGCTGGTCTCAAACCCAGGAAATGGGATGAACTGGAGGCAGCAGCAGTGGATATCTTAGAGTTGTTTGTGTCTGAAAACAAACTATGCTGCTTTTTTAAAAAAAAAAAAGTAATTTAAATATTTTAAAGTTTGTTTTCCTGTCTGGGAATTAGTTTGGACACAGAGTAACTTGGTTTTCAGCTCACTCTCAGGAACACCCTTGTTTCTGAATGCGTTTCTTAGAGCAGCACCACGTAGTTCTGCTACTCCACTAGCCAAGCTTCTAATTTTTCCCTAGGGAACAAAAGCTCTGTGCTCTGGGGGGACTGGAAAGTGTTTCCTAGACGCAGACACAGAGTGAGACTTTGGAAGCTGCTTTACAAGCTTTCAGTTGTCTAAAACAGTAATGCTGCTTAGCAGATTGGGATTGACCGCTTCTGTCTGACGTTGTAGCTTAGGAAACTTGAAGAAGCGATAGACGACTGCACGAATGCGGTAAAACTGGATGACACGTATATCAAAGCGTACTTGAGGAGAGCACAGTGGTAAGTAGACCTTTATAATGGAGGTGCTGAGCAGGCTGGTGCGTAAGAACCCCCTCCCTACAGCACCGAGCGACAGGGATGAGAGATCTGAAGCTGAACTGAGTGGAAGGTTCTGTCTGAAGGAGCCCTGACTTTGTTCCTCGTCCTCGTGCCGGCGAGGAGACGGGGAAGCTCTGCGTAGTCTGTCCTGCCTGCGGGGATCCGGGACTGCCTGCCGATTGTTGTATTCAGGCAGGATTTGTTCTAAAGCTTCACTTACTGTGCTGATAATGTGCGATGTTCTGTCCCAGAGAGCTCCCTCCTCTCGAGCTTTTTCGAAAAGGGCTCCAGTGGGTGAGAGGCCTTATCCTGGCAGAGCTGGTCACGCTTCCAGCAAGCTAGATTTCAAAACGGGATGCTGTGCTTCGAGAAAGGAGATGGGTACAGTCACAGCTGGTATCGCAGCCACAGATCATACCACAGCGTAGCGCCGTGAGGCTGAGCGAGCTACACAGAGCGTGTTCGAGTCTGTCTCCGTTGTAGCTTGGCACCAACCAGGGAAGTAGTCAAGGCTCCCTTCTGGCTACAGATTTGTCTGCTGCTTTCCTCAGTACTGATTATTCCTCAGTTTGTGTCCAAGCTGCCTAGGTTATAGATGAACCAGTACCGTTATTGCAGCCTGCCTGTTGGACACTTGTTTTAATTTACAACCTTCAGTGTTTTCTCAAGCTCCAGCTCAGTAATTGCCAAATTACAGTAAGCAGTTAATATGTGAGTAAGGCTGAAATGCCAACAGAGGGGCACACATCCCTCTGCTTGAGGTGCCGAGATTGTCACCTCTAACCAGCGTTGCTAGTGTGCAGCTCTGCACCAGCTTCCTGGAAATCTGGCTGGCTGGTATTAGTTCCTGCGGCTGGATAGAGTAATTATCAGATCGTTAAAATAGGACTTGTGCTGCCAAGTGAGATTGCAGTCTCTACTTGGAGCCCAAAGTACAGGTTCCTGTGCCAGGATTTCCCACAAACAGCAGATGCCTGGGCTTCCAGTCAGCCCCGCAGTGACCCTCTGTGGGTTCCTCTAATGGTTGCTCTGTCTGCGGTCCCGTGTGTTTTCCTTCATTCATATCCATCCAGAAAGCTTGTACCTGAGCCGCTTTTTGGCACTTGCTGTGAAGTACACCTTGGCCACCATTGTTTCTTTCCACAGTTACATGGACACAGAACAGTATGAAGATGCTGTAAGAGACTACGAAAAGGTTTATCAGACAGAAAAGACGAAAGGTGAGCATATCAGCATTCTTCTTCTGTGCGTGTTCCCCTTCAGTGGCAGCTTTTTCCTTGTTGCTTCCATTTGCTGTTTCCCACCACAATATGCTCTGATTTGCTGTCTTTTATCCCAGCCAGCACAATATGGAAAAGTCCTCAGAAGCGCTCTGAAATGCTGTTCTCAGAACCTGGTTTCTCTCCCAGCACTGAATGCTGAGAGGATATTTAGCTTGTAGCCGAAGCAATACGCCAGATTCAGAGGATCTGGTGATAGTTCTCTTTCTTCACTGCCGTCTTGCTTTTTTAGTAGCCTGAAATGGAATGGGCAGAGTAACCTTAGTCCTCGTGGTTCACTGGTTTAATAGCCCTGAGATGTTTACCTGCATTTGAAAACAGCCTGAAGTGGACAGTGAGTGTAGATCCAAGGGGGTCGGTTAATTGTGGCACTTGAGTCCTTCAGCCCAGGTCATCTCAACCTGCTGGTCTTCAGCCTCTTTCAGAGCGGGAGGCTGTGCCTGACACTAAAGCCGCTTTCCTTTGGCGTTGCACTTCTTTCTAGAACACAAGCAGCTTCTAAAGAACGCACAGGTGGAGCTGAAAAAGAGCAAACGGAAAGACTACTATAAAATCCTTGGGGTTGACAAAAATGCCTCTGAAGATGAGATCAAGAAAGCTTACAGGAAAAGAGCACTAATGCATCATCCAGGTACCCAGAAACAGTCCGTTATTAGAGCACGTGTTGTTGCTTTGCTCCCCTTGCTCCATGCACGTGCCCTGTGCAACCGCCACGCAGAGGCAGGAATGATACAAGAGAGGGAATTTCTGGAGAAATAGCTTTTCTGACCCCGCAAATCTAAAATATGTGCTGTGACAGTGGCTGGGAACGTGTAGGATTTTCCATTTACATCAGAAACTAGAAGCTTCTTCCCTGCTCATTTTTGTATGCCTAGACCGACACAGTGGGGCAAGTGCAGAAGTACAGAAGGAAGAGGAGAAGAAATTTAAGGAGGTTGGTGAAGCCTTTACCATCCTGTCAGATCCCAAGAAGAAGGCCCGCTATGACAGCGGCCAGGATCTAGAAGAGGATGGATTGAACATGGGAGGTGAGTGTTGCTTATGATGTTGTTCTGCTGTGGCAGCTTTTGAAAAGATTGGACCATTTAGAGTCTGCCTTCTCCTCTGAAGCAGCCTAGCAGTTCTTTACCCCCATTTGTAAGAATTCTGTGAATTGACTGGGTCTGGTCTCTGAAAGCATTTGAATGCAGATCTCCACCGAGTGTTTCAAGTTGTGAACAGCCTAGGCTACGTGGTGGATGCTATCCCTGATGGCGCTGGTAAGCAGCTGTCATTAGGCAGAAGTCTTTCACAGGAACTGTAAAATCGCATCCTAGAAAGGTTGTAAGTCCCTAAATTCTGCTTATCCAAAATTCTTTGGTTGCCCCTGTGACTGGAATTCTCTGACAGCTATTACTCTTACCTGATTGCTGCTGCTGTTGGTGGCCCTGTACCCTGTTGCTGAGTAGCAGAGCCCAGACACAGCAAGCTGTTCCCAGCTCTTGGTCCATTTGTAAAATGCTCTCTGGGCCCTCAGTGAAGTGACAGCTTCTGAACTGCGAAAAACGTGACGGGCTGTTTCACTTCAGCTCGTAACTTCCTCTTCTTCCCTGTAGAGTTCGATGCAAATAATATCTTCAAGGCCTTCTTTGGTGGGCCAGGTGGCTTCAGTTTTGAAGGTAGGTGGAAGTGTTCTCCTCGCAGCTTTGGAACCGTGAGTACACAAATCACTCGACGGGACAGCGGAGTTTCCCAGGGTGGAGCGTTTGACTTTTCTACATAAAAGCATCTGAGAGCTCTTGGAAAGTTGTGTCCACACAGCATCCCAGCTGATGGCTGGCTCCGGTGCTTTTGTGTTCAAAAGCAACAAAACGCAGGGATTCCCTTTTCAGGAAGCGTGCGTAGGCTTTGCCCAGCTCCGTGGTGCTTTGCTGCGTAGCAGTATTGCCCGTACCTTGGGTACAGCAACAGCAGGCGATTCGTGGGGGAAGCGCTTTGCGTCGGTGTCGCACAGCGCTCTGCTCTGGTTTCATGGCCCCTGAGGGCCTCTGCCCGCCGGCGTTCGGGGTGGCCGGGGCAGGGAAGGAGCTGTTGCTCAGTGGCCCTGCGAAGCTCAGGCTTTCTGCCCGCGCCTCGGAGCAGGGCGGCCGTCAGCAGCACGGAGCGAGCTCTCGGCGCTCGCTGGTGTCCGTGTACCCTCAGGGCAGGCTGTGGCCCGAAGGGCTTGCTTTGAGTGAATTTTGAGAAGTCTTGCACGCTTCGTGTGCTGCTTACCGTCAGCCTTGTAAATCTGCCTCCTCCACCCGTGTTATCGGTAGGCCGCTCTTTGGCTGGGTGGGAGTTGCTGCTGGAAGTGCACAGCAAAGATCTCCTCTCTCCTGCCTGCTCGGACGGGCTGGGTTGAGCTAAGTGCTGGTGTCCGGCTGCTGCAGCAGGTAGTTAGCTGTGTCGTCTTTGAATTTTGAAAGTGCTAATGTCTTTCATTTTCTTTTTCAGCTTCTGGGCCTGGAAATTTCTTTTTCCAGTTTGGCTAAAAAAAAAACAACAAACCCACACATACTGATCTGCTTATTTTAACCTCGAATACGGACATACGTAGACTCCTTCCTTCATCATGTCTCGTTGTACTTAGAGCAGTTTCAGTTTTCTCGGTTGGAGGCCTCTGTTTTGTGTGCTGTTGTGTGTGAAGAGGAAACCAGCTCGGGGAGGGGAAGGCTTGTGAATTTTGTTTTATTGTTAACTTTATTAAAAAAGCAAAAAATAAAGCTTTGAATCTTTTGGTCCCTCCATGCTGGCCCGTACTTTCAGACTGTTCCTGCTCCTCAGCAGAGAGAATTTCCCCAAAGTCCTCCCAGAATCTCCACTTGGAAGCGGGTGAAGTGGTCTCCTGTTTTGTTGTGGCCGGCTCCAAGGTGCAGCATGGCTGGGGGCTGCGGTACCTTGTACGGGATCGTAATCTGAAAATATTGCCAAGATTCAAGCAGCTTTCACACAGTTTTTACCTGCCAGCTGGGTTTTTTGTCTTTTTTTTTGCCATGATTCTACGAGAACGGTACACTTGGGCATGAATAAGTGATAATGTGTGAGCTTAACAATTTTGTATCGGAGAAATGCTTCTCTGGATTGAAAAGAGCAGCGTATGTGGGGATTCCCTGTGATGCAGCTGGAATTAAGGGCTCTCCGTTTCCGCCCCAAGAGCTGTCCGGTTTCAGGGAATATTGAATTTGCTCTGGGCTGAATTTCTTCACTGTACTTATTTTAATAGCTTTAAAATTTAATATTTGTG